GAAACTGGTGTGAGCATCATGCCTGGGGCGCCACCTGCTGGACAGTAATGTGAACTACAAAATTCACATGAATCTTATCAGGACGCTTGAGTTAAAAATGCAGAATGAAACTATTTGATGAATAGTAAACATGCCAAACAATCAAGTTGTAAATCAACCCTTCATTAGCCTCTCTTATGGAACAACCACAGATAGAGAAAAAGAGGGGAAACAACCGAGTGACAGTGAAAAATAGAGAAGCTACTTTGCATGGATGCGCTGACGTCTGAAGTTCAAATAATGGTCACTTAGCAGCTTATAATATGATTTAACCTCTTTCTATAGAGAAACCTCTTAACATCTTGCTGTAGGTGACTGAACAGGCTCCTTCTGATTAGCTTGTTTTTCTGGTCAMGACAAGTCGATCTGTCTTTTCGTGTCGACTTTAATGTATGTCGTGTAAAAACGTGTCTTGCAGCTCTGTTCAGCACCAACAAGTCAAACACAATCCGAAACTAAATCTCTAACACCGAGAAAAGTAAAAACACTGTTGAAATTTGAAGAGTTTAGCTCAGTAAGACTTTTAGACACATCAGCTAGCATTACAAGCGTGAAAATACTGACTTGTAATAATGCAGTAATAAAAAACTTACTTTGTTGAAAATAGGCAGGCCGTATATGTAGTTAGTTTCCCAACAAAATCTTTTATATTGACTTTACAGAAAGCAGAACCTTGTTCCAAACTTCGCCTTTCCCGCACACACGCTCAGTTTTTCCGTTCTGGGGCTRACGTCACGTGGTCTTTCCTTATATGGTAAAAATGCCCATATATGGCAACTATTCAAATTCTATGAYGCCGCCATTCGTGCAGAAACTGATGATTCGAAAATGAACAGCGCCCTCATGTGGCCACCAAAGAAAACATCTATATCAGAAAATARTTTTTTTCCAAAAATCTCAAAGAAAACAAGTGTTTGTCTGTCTAAAAAAACGATAAAATGATCTCGAAATTGTCCATAAGTTTTTGGTTAAAAAAAAACTTATCCGTTAAATGTATCGTTGCAAAAAGTAACAAACAAAAAACATTTAATGAAAGTGTGTTATTGTGTCAAAATAAATTTTTTTGCAGTTGCCCACATTGTTTAGTTTTTGCCATATTGATGACCACTTTAGTTTTACTCTGCTGCTTTTTCTCTCTCAAACTTCAAAAGATGTCTAGCTGCTTTTTTATTCATTTATTTATTTATTTTTTGTTACAAACTTATGAAAAACTCCTAAATTGACCAAATATAGATAGGTATCAGTTTTCTACTCTAATTTTTGCTCTTGGTTTGCATTTTTGATCACTCCTTTGATGCTTCACCGCTGTCTCTCACAGACCCKCGTTCCAATGCCAACACTGTCTCAGACCCTGGTCATAAGACAGACGAAACCTGAAAAACTGGATGCTTGTCATTTTTACAAAGGGCTGTGATGTAAGCTCATTGTCTCTGAGATTARGTGAGCTCACAGCGTGAAAGAGAGGAAGACTGCGCCTGTGTACAGTCGYTGTCTGGCTCATGGTGTAGGTGTTTGCAGTGTCATCAGAGACCATGAAAATAATTATTTTGTTACTGTGTTTGTGTTGCCTTTACCTTGTGCAGTCTCAGGACATGGATCGCTGTAAGTAAACAACACATTACAGCTAAGACAGGAATGGTATTTGCTTGAATCAGCTGAATTATGTTGATTTTGTATATTTTGTTTTTATCAGACTCTTACTGTGAGAGCTGTTTAACAGTAYCACAAGGTACGCTTCACTGAACTTGCCTTTAAGTTTAAGTTTATGAATTTATATGCATGAGTTTGTGGTTTGATCTTTAAGTCTCAGAAAACAAATAACAGCAAGATGCTTTTCAGAAATTGAGAAAGCCCTAAAGGAAGCCCCAGCTGGGAGCAAATACACAGTGATTGAGAAAATCCTCAACTGGAAGTTGTGTGAGAAACTTCCTACTTACCACAATGAGCATGTCTCCAAGGACCAAATGAAATCTACCTGCATGAAATTGATGGGTACAACTGAACCCTCAGTAAGCTTGATTTTTTTTTAAAACAAATTAAAGTCTACTTACATTCGTAAATACATGTTCCAGATTCTCACCGAGACCAGTTTCGTGCTGCTTTGATGAAAAATGAACCAAACAATTTGAACATACTCTTGTGTTACGAGGTGTCCCATGCATGTGTTGGAGTCAAACGCAAGGCTTTTCAGGTAAGCCTTTAATATAAAAACAGATATTTCAGTCRGACTAAGCTGCTCTAACTGCATCATTTCTGTGACAGGATTCCACAGCCACCTTTACTGAAACTGACATTGACGCTTTACTTCAGGACAACAAGGGAAATGTTCGCTTTGCTCAGCCTGTGAAAGCAGGTTCAACTGGACAGAAAAGGGATGAGCTGTGAAAATGGAACATTATTATGGGTTCATCAGTGTACTTTGGAACACAATGTTTTTAAGATGTTTATTACATTAAATAAAATGATTAAATGTAAAATATAAATTCACATTTGTTTTTTTTTGCAATATATGGATATGTTTGGGGCTGTGGATAAATGTGCGTACATGTGTGTATGTATACATGCATATACAATGCATGTAGATGTACATTTACGTTTATGAGTATATTCTGGTATAATGTAAAATTCTAGGTAAACAGATTGTTGTTTTAGTCCTTATGAAATTGTAACTCAGAATAAGGAAAAAGAAGAATTTACTATTATTTTTTGTTAATAAGCTTCGGAGAAGGGTGGGATTGAATACGTTTTTTACTTCTTCCCATTCCTTTTCAAATATGTTAATTTTGTTATCACTTTTTTTATCATTTTTTGTTTTATATGCATGTTTAAAATAAACTAAACTAAACTAAACTAAAATATATATTTCACACAGTATTTTGCTTACTTGTTTGTATTGTCCTCATGAAAATCATGAGAGCTTGAAGGTTGTCTTGTTGGAGAGCACAGTTTAAAACTGAGGGTTCAAATATCAGACAAACAGGGATTTTCAGAACACATTTCATGAGTTGAGCATGGCCAACATGTACAGTGTCTGACTACARATAAAATCAGGGACATTTATTATATAAACAGCTTCCAGATAATTCTACCAGGGCCTTTTAAAGAGGCTCCACCAGCAGAGCTAAAATCAATGACTTTCAGTAAATCTCAGGGTTTATAGAGTCAGCAGATGTGTGGGGCTCTGTTCCCTTTAGCTCATCATGCAGAAATCCCAGCATGAACAAAGCAACAAATAAACAACGGATCACTGCACTAATGGGCTGTGGCTTCCTGGTTTTATGTTGAGATATTTCCTGCCTCAAATTGAAGGTCTTTCCCCCTTTATTTGTTTTATGAACTGTCCTATATAAAGCTAAGGAGGATTATTAGATGTACTTTGAATTAATCCCTAAAACTGCTGCAAATTACGATTAGAAAGCTAAAACGTGCAGAGCTTGAAACCYCTTGCGTTGAATGAAAGAATAATAAAAAAAATGACTTCAAGGGAATTAAAGAGGCAAGGTCGCGCGCGCCGTAATGGAACGTGACCCTCCCCGCGTGCTCGTGTTGCTAGGAGGCGCTGTTGGAGCCCGGAAGAGCTGGTGGTCATCATCATGATGGTCAAACCGAGATTGAGAGCGGAGACAAGGGGAGAGTCACCGGTAAAGTCGCCGCATTGAGRTTCTCGGCGACGCCGGCTCTACGGAGAACGGGAAACGAGACCGAATACATTTTTTAAACACAACTGCAGGTATGAACAAGCACGCGCTCATCTGCTGCCATTCTCCACTGCACATTGTGCTGAAAGGTGTCGTGTCGCTCCTAAAAATGCCGCACGCGTTGCTTAGCTGCTTTGTGTTAAGAGGGACAAAATTAAACCCGTTCCCACCCGTGCTGTGCCGTCCCTGAGCTAATCAGGCAGCTGTGGGTGGGGGGTTAGGCTACACCACAGCTGCACCATGTAGCTCATTTCAAACATACCAATAAATAAACAGAACGGCTAATGCATTTTCATTGTTAGATTAAATCCACTGTACAGCTTTGCACCCAGAGCCCAACACCCTGTCTGTGAGACTGACTGCTGGCAGACATGTCAGAAAACAGAAACTGTGTTGATCAGACACATTATTCCATCTGCTTCTGGGGAGATGAAATGAATCATCAGCCAACAGGAAGGAATGACAAGAATGCAATGAGTGTGATAAAAAGGCAGACAGATCTTATTTTGTTGTAGGTCACGTGTTAAGTCAAGGCTCGTGGGCCAAATCCGGCCCTTGTTTACATTTTAACTGGCCCCCTGATATTTTAAATGTTTTTGATCTGGCCTACCAATTTATGAGTCTAAATGTAATTTGTTGTTTGATATGAATAATTTGACATATTACATAAAACAAGATTGATTTATTCTGTATAAGCTCTTAGCGTAGAACAAGCATTGAATTTTAGCCTGCTTGTGTTTAAAAACCACRGTTGTAGTCCTGTTTATTTCCCTTACAGTATTGTTCCCAGACGCTTTTCCATGTTGTAATCTAATTCCTTATTCTGTGTTTGACGCGAACAGCTTGGCGACGAGGCTACATGGTGTGTGTTTCCTGCCCAGAGGGCGGATGTGCGGGCGTTCGGGGATGGAGAGCTACGAGGAGTTCTGTCTGCGGAGTTTGGTCGCGCTGCAGGAGGAGGGGAAACTCAAGAGGAAGACGTGTCAGCCATTGTGCTCCCTGAAAATGGCTCGCTCTCTCATTTGCTTTCACGGAAGAGCCATTCTTTCACCTCTGGTGAGGAAATAAACAAGCATGGGRGCTAAGGTCATGTCACGAGATGGCAGTAAAATGGACCCAAACACAGGCGAGACCGATGCAGGTGGATGAGGCMCAAATCTTGAAGTTACAACAAAATTCAAACCATAAGTATTTGTCACACGAAATCTCTTCATCATCATGAGACACAAGGATGTTTTTTTTTTATCCTGGAGATTAATTCATATAAAGACTTTAAAGGGATCCATGATTAGTTGTACCATTAAACATTATTTGATAAACATATATTTTAACTGTAAAATAAAGACTGTAAAAATACTGTAGGCTGTTTAGTTTTCATAATTTTTAAACTAAAAGTTAAAAAATATATATTACATGGACGGGGCCATTTTATTTACACACAAAGCATTCTGGGTAAATGATGATATGGATAGGTCCTCGGTGTGAGCAAGTTGGGGTTTCTGCGGACGAGTGGGCGTGTCACAAGGAAAGGCGATTCTAAAGCGACACACCTGATTTGACGGACTTTGTTAAAGCGACACACCTGACTGGACAAGCAAAAAAGGGGGTGATACCGTATGGTACCACCTGATTGGACAAGAACAAAAGGGGCATTACTGTACGGCACCACTTTTTCTGGAGAACCCTACTTGGGTCACATTTCTCCTGGTTAACCTTAGTGTTGGGGTCAGGGTCAGGCTGTAAAGAGGTCAAGCAGGGTCTAAGGATACCGTTATGTAGGCCTCGTAGCCCACAGTGTTTATGCTTTTGACACCCCCACTCTTGTGACACACCCACTTTGATTCCGCAGATAACCCCTTCTCGGTGTGAGGCTGCTAGCGAGCTATATCCACCCTGAAGGTTAATCTTGGACAATATCTGATGATCGACTCTTTTAAATGAAACCAGAGAGCGTTGACAGAGAGGAGAAGGTAGAAATGACTCAGCCTGTAACTGAAAATATAGATGGAGGACAACAGAGCTGCTTCATGGAAGAACCTCAGCTTAGCCTGTTAGCTTTAGCATTACCCCCGAAACTATCACCATATATATGTATTAGATCAGCGCTACACATTCTCTTCTCATCACTGAGGTCCTGCATCCACATGACAGAGAGGGGAACGCAAAAATGACTCAGTCTGCAACTGAAAATATGGATGGAGGACCTCAGTTTAGCTTGTTAGTTTGTCYCTCTAGCCCTGAGCTAATAAGGAATATAGCGTCGGCGATAGCGTGAAGGCTAACAGGCTAAGCTGAGGTTCTTCTTCCATGAAGCAGCTCTGTTGTCCTCCATCCATATTTTCAGTTACAGGCTGAGTCATTTCTACCTTCTCCTCTCTGTCAACGCTCTCTGGTTTCATTTAAAAGAGTRGATCATCAGATATTGTRCAAGATTAACCTTCAGGGTGGATATAGCTCACTCACACTGATGACCTATCCACGTCATCATTTACCCAGATTGCTTTGTGTGTAAATAAAACGGCTCTGTCCGTGTTAAAATATATTTTTAAAAATTTACAAAACTAAACAGCCTACAGTATTTTTTTACAGTCGTTATTTTACAGTTAAAATATGTTTATCAAATAAAGTCTAATGTTACAACTAATCATGGATCCCTTTAAGACTTTTGCTACAAAGTCAGCTCTAACTTTGATTGATGAAATTGTCAGTTACATTTCTGTCTCTCCTGCAACAGCCACAATTTTGCCACAATTTTGCATCTTTTTGTAACATTTCTCAGCTACAATGCCAGAAAACTTATGGGAAGCWTTCTTAGAAAAAAATAGCTCTAGGGGCCTTACCTGTGATTTTCTTGCAAACACAAGTCAAAATGTCTCCTGTGAGAAGAATCTAATTAAATCAGCAGTTGGCACAGAAAAGAGAAAAAGATGAGTCATATCAAAGCTGTTTGGAAAAACCTATTTGTTCCTAACTGCTGACAAAGGGGTTCTTTAAAATACTTCCATGATGAAGYGGCCAGTGTCAGGACCTCCTATGCTGACATGTGGATAATATAGATCAATACTCAACAAGAAAAAAAACTTTATAAAAAGCTGCATATATACTGTGTTTTATTTWTTTATTTTTTCAGCTGAGTGCAGAGCAACGGACTGAGATGTGTGGCTACAGACAAAGAGCTGTCCAATTGGAACTGAACAGACAGAARGAGCAGAGAAACAAGCTGCTGAGTCAAGTTCAGAACATACTGGATCAGGTCAGTAGCACAGAGTGTGGTCATGGACACAGCTCTGAGGGGTGTTCCAATATAAAATAATGGTTACTAAAACACTGGAGACAGATGTAACATGCAGGTTGTGCTGTGCATTAGGAATGTGTAGCAATCCCTCATACTGATGCTAATGAAAATCATACAGTGTTGCTACTATTTATGTGAAAATATGACTTTTTTGTATWTTTATTAATGCTACATGACATTTTTACATTAATGCCTCACTTTGGAATTACGCTCTCAATAGCACTAAATATGAGTTCTACTTTGTCCCACAGTCTCTTTGTCTGACCCAACACTTTGACCAGTGTACTGACATATTTCTTTTATCGTGATAGAGCCTTTTTTCATTAACTASTTATTTTAAAGCTRTTATGTTTGCMCACTAATTWGCTTCAATAATTAGRCAGCCGGTTCGGATGTTATCAGTCCATTAAATGGACATTATTAGGGGTTATCAATCCCATAGAATGGCTTCAGACTGTCCRGACAGTGCCCCCTAGTGGGTTACCAGTGCCATATACGTTGGAATGCAACAATCTGCTACCGCCGGAGTCCYGTCTACTTTATCGTAGCCCATGTCATTTTCTCTAAAATTAACCTTAGTGGTTTTATGCCTCATACTAACCAGCTGATAGTCTGAAGTTATTCTATGGGACGGAGAACCCACTAGGCGGCACAGCCGGGACATTCTGAAGCTAGTCTGAAGTCATTCTATGGGACTGATAACGGCTAATAACGTCCATTTAATGGATAATAACATCCGAAGCAGGTGAATTAGACAACTTTAAATCAGGTAGGTCAGTAGAATTTAGTATTGCCATTTTTTTCCCCTCAGAATCAACGTGAGAGAAAATGTAGACATCACGATCAGATATAATCTGATTGGGCTGAAACAAATTCTAGTTTGAAGATTTTAAAGTACATGTGACATGCCATCCATTCATCCTTCCATCCATCCAGACATACATACATACATACATACATACATACATACATACATACATACATACATACATACATACATCTTTTAATACAAAAATTCAAAGAAAACATCTAAACTTGGCACAATACTCATTATTTTACCCATTTTGTCACATAACTGGGATATTTTCTTTTGATCTTGGCTCAGCCTCCTCTTCATCTCACTCTGATAGAGATTCAAAATAATACAACGAAACATCAGATTCATCTCTACAGTCTGTGTTGTCGGCCACTGTAGCAGATATTCCCCTTCGATATCACTTCCTGTTACTTCACATGAGAATATCTATACTGTTCATCTCAGTGGCATGAAATTRCTTTTGCAATATTTTATTAATGTTATCTTTCCAAAAATGCATTCATGTACYTTACAGAAATTTGATGTTTCAGGTAATTTAAAGCATTTTTACGAGTCCCTCTGTAAGCCAGGGCTAAATATGATATTATTTTTTTACAGGCATGTGAATAGCACCAAGCGAAAAGAAGCTTCCAGTTTCTAAATCTGCAAACGTCAGTGGCTATGCTCTGGTCACAGACTCACCTGGACTTTCCAAAGATCCTGGACACAGGCCTAAGGCAGCCGAGCAGCCCATCACTCCAACCCCAGAGATCCCCGTCTTTAATGGTTGCAAGGTAGACGTAACAGTAGAGAAGCAGGAGATGAGTGAGGAGGAGGAAGATGAGGARATTAGTTTGGACAGCCTTCTTAAAAGATCAAGAGAGTATGTGAAGCGAGAGCAGAGTCAGCAGGGCTCAAAAGGGGTCCTCTCAGTGAGCCGTACTCCCCCACCTGAGACGCCTCCTGTCAAAGAGCAGCAGAGCTGTAGCCCCGTCAGAGACACGGGAGTCGAGTTTGGATTCAGCCTGCACCATAGCCCAGTTGGCCTGCCTCCGATCCAGCATCATTTCTTTTATGAACCCACTCCACAAAAGTCTGTCCCACTCAGGTGTACTAAACCAGAACAATATGCTTGTCTCCCCAGTCTGGAGCCTTGTATTAGCCCTCGCACCTGTAGACGCAAACCACGGCCCGTTTCTACAGGGAACATCCATTTTACATTTCCCGRCGGACCAGCCGACCTTGTCTCTCGAAGCCCGGAAAGGTCAGGCGAAGGTGCTGGACTGGCAGATTGGGGAGAGGCAGGCTTAATGGTGACCGGTCCGTGGAGCTTAGAGACGAGGAACAATGCTTCCAGGACTGGAATCRGTCGATCCAGCCACTGCAGCACCAGTCCAGTGCAGGAAAATGGAGGCCCTGTTAGTGCATCTGTACCCAGCTCCATGAWGCACCATGACCACTTAGCCGTGGGATTTCGGCGACGCTGCCACACGTTGGACAGCCAGCTGAGTACCTACCAGTCTGCAGCTGAGCCTGTGGACCGCAGCCAGGAAAGGGTCCCTCGCTTCATGGCAGGTGCCATGTGGCTTGGTCCAAATAGGCCCAAACCTGCARCTCCTTTAAAGCAGTCATATGAGGTGAAAAATACATCGCCATCTCTGCTGAGCTCCCTCGTGACTCCTGATGAGTCTCATGGGTCAAACAGCTGGAACGCACCAACAGTTGTGAGAAAAACAGCCGAAACACAATCCAGCAAGACAGGTGAGTCTTAAATCATTCAGCAGTTCAGCTTGCATTGTTTTCAGTTTTAAAATAATTTCAGCTGAAATTATTTCTCCAGTTCCAAACCTCGCAGTTCTTCAGATGGAAAAAAAATATATGATCCTGCCTGTTTTTTTTTTATTTATTTCGATACATTAGCAGAGGCTCAGTGGCAAGCCCAGAATCTGGAGGACATACAAAGGCGCCTAGAKGAGGAGCATGCCCTGCAGGTGTCACTTCTCCTGGTTGAGCATGAAAAGGAGCAACAGCGCCTCCGCCTGGTCAGCACTAAGTATCACATCTTTTAACTTTTATTCAAAGGACCACAAATTGTGCTGCTGCAATGCAAAAGAGAAATATTTTAAATCACTTTTTTGAAAGTAATAATATGTGCCGATGCATTTATTTGGAATAAAAAATATTTCTATGATTGATATGCTCATGTTTAGGAGCTCGAGGAGACGGAGAGAAGACRGAAGGAGCAGGAGAGTGCGAGGCCTGTGAGTGGAGACTCCCATGTTTGGAATAGCAGGTCTGTGAGTAGCAGCTACCCTGTTATGAGCCCCTCCTGCCCAAGACTGAGTCCCATCCACACCCCGTCTGAGCAGTTGGCTGGACACACGTTAGGTACCAATTCACCTATTGCTGTGCTCTTCATGTCTTWAAAAAAATCTTACCATGTAAGCATTTTTAAAGACATTTAGTTAAAGATAAATCGACAAAAATATCTTGTTTATTTCAATAAGATGACACCATATTCTCAACTATTTAAACATCTGTAAATGTGATAGTTGTTGTGCAGTAACTCAAAGTATTTGATGTTTCTTTTTTCAGGTTTTCCCAGTCCTGTTTCATCCAGTATTATATCTCCCACTATCCAGCCTTCGGTTTGTCTGTGGGGGTCTTCTTGGGCAGCTAACAGACCACGCTCAAGGCTAAGTCTGGTTGGTATCAGCTCAGAGTAAATATGTGTACTTAAACCCAAAATGTATGATAAGCTGCAGACTAAACCATGAAAAACTGGGTTGTCTTACTGACAGATCTGTTTTATTGCTTAGATAGAAAAATGTGTGCCTGCATCACTGGTATCTTTAATATTTTTGCAATTAAAACAATATCATTGATACTGACGTACCAACCGAGGTGCTGAGATTTTTCTGAAAAAAGACCCAGTGGTCTGTCCGTTTACCCAAAATCAAGCAAAGAGACCACAAAACACATTTCTCCTTATTTATTTGTGACATTATTTAGACTTTTTAAATTTAGAATTTAGCACAAAATGAGGAATCAGCCCATTATTTAAATCCAAAACCCTTTACTGGATGCTCCTTTTATACCCAGTATTGACACACCTTTATCACTTAATCTCATTGTTGAATGTAGTGTAAAACTTCAAGACATTTCTGGATTTAGTTTGAAAGAATTATTTGTTTTCACAGTCACATCTTTGTGTTGTTGCTGTGAATTGCAGGTTTTGACCGCAGAGCACCAGAAAGCATTTTGTCGAATTGGCTCCATCATCCGCGGGTTCCTCATTCGACGGCTGCTCAAAACAGAAAAGGTCAAACACCTGCGCCAAACCATCCGGGTGAGATTCACACAAAGGAGAGCACTGTATCTACYATCAAAGAAAAATAAACCCTAATAAATTAACTGTTTTTAGGATACGCAGGAATTCATCTGTTCATTTGAGACTGAAGCTGCACAGAAGAGAGGGATCTACTCAGCACAAGACCTGTCCCTGCAGGAGAGAGTGCGAGCTCAGGTAATATTCTGTCCTTGCTCTGCACACACAGCAGAGGTCCTCCTTTCTTTGTGTTTATGTGTTTATCTGACGGCCCACAGTTACGCGCTGCCTTGTATGACGTTCATGACATCTTCTTTGAAATGCCTTTGAGGGATCGATTAGCAGTTCTGCAGCAGGACAGGGAGCTTCGTGCAGAGAGGAAGCTTCGAGACCTGGTAATATAAAACTTCTTTTATTAACTCTTTTTTTTTTGTAAACACTGTTTAGCTCATGGGTACCAGTGAAAAATACATGTACTTGCATATCYTAAATTAAGACTTCATAATTTTTAGCACAGCTGCATTGGATTGTGATGTTTTGTTCAATATTTTCATGAGTTTAGTTTGTGTGTCTTGTGTTGATGTAATAGTATTTTTTCTTCCGGTCCCCTGCAGGAGAAAGCCAAATCTTCCAAAGAGAGAGTCTCTCTTTCTGCGGCCACGCAGAGGTCTCTGGACAGGAAAAAGAGGTGAGACAGGAGCACAGCTGTGTATGTGAAATTAGATCAGATGTTGTTTTTTTTTTTTGTTTTGGTTTTGATCAGGAGCTTCAGTGATCAATCTGGGTATAAATTCTTTAGGGCAGGTGAATCCCCAGCACAGGTCAGGAAGATGCAGCACAAGCCAAAAAGCCCCACCACCAACAGGTGTCACATTTCTTTTATTTTTTTTATTTCTGTGTTTGTGTGATTTATTCTTAATGACCACCAGATTGTATTAATTTTATAAAAATTCAATTTCCAGAATTCAGAAGCCAAGTCAGACTTCATCTGCTCCAAGCCAGCTGAACCGCCAGGGGTGAGTTTCACTTTTTACAATACATAACAGACAATCATCTGTATTTTGTAAATAACTGTTTATTTTATGACATGCCCTTTTACCTGCTATTAAATACATTGTTTTTGTTAAGCTGTGATTAGGAAAGTGGCATTTTCAGCTCACTAAATATTTAATGTTTTGTGTCTTTTAAATCTCATTAATCCACACAGACCTGGTTATTTATGTCATCCTTTGCTAAGCYGTCAGTTCAAATAGGAAAATCTAATTCCAACATTAATTTGGTCAATTTAATTTGAAACATAGTCTAAAACTTATCATTTTAGCTAAATAAAGTTAGCTAATTTTAGGCTTTTTAAATTAATTTTTTATACATATAAATGCCAGTTAATTTACACACATGGCTTCTCTGAGGTAGTTTTAAATATGTTTTGCATAATTAAGTACATGTTAAGGTTTGTAAGAACAAGCCAGTATTTTGTTGGACTAAACTGCAGTTAAATGGGCCATGTTAGCACATGAAACTAGTAATGCTTAAAGTACATTTCTGTAAACAAAAATTTGGAGGAACTTAGTCTTATGAAGTATTGTCATGTGAACAAGTACAATTATACTTGTGTCCATATTTCATAATAATACTTTACACACAAAGTATGCTTCAAAAATACTTACAAAAKTGTATACTTTTAATTGATCTTATTCAACTTATAAATCAAGACTAACTGTAACTGGAAGTGTGTCATCTATGTAAACAAGTCTGACTTTCTGAACAAACTGATGTCTTTAAAATCTTCTCAGTAACTGTTTGTTTGCTTGCAGGAGCTGGTACAGAAAGACTCCAGAGGAGAAAGTGAGGCGCTCTGACAACCTGAAGAAGCAGCACTCTCTGGGATAACACCCAACCCAACACCACCTCACCTGGGAACTTGAATTTTTAATCTTTTACTACAAGTCCTGAACCACTGGACCTGTTTTTGTTGTCTGCGCTGCTAACACGATTGTTTCTAATCTAACATGTGGAAATGACTGTATTCACCTCCACATTTTATCCCARTGATAGACTCTATCACAGTGCTGTAAGTTTGACTGTTGCCTCTTGTTGAAATGTTATTTTGTGTGTGTACAAAAAGTGATTGTTTACCAAGACCGTCATGTGAGTGGAGTGTTTAACAAGTAACTGAATGTCAGAGCCAAAAGAAGAAAAGTTAATGGAGAAGTACGCCTGAGAACTACACCTCAGCCATCTGCTGTATTTTAGCATGCTTAAACTGTATTTATCAGCTGTGTTCATAAATATAAAGTGCTTATAGCTGTAAGTAAATTTAAATAATCAGTTTCATAATGTTTGCCAAATACTGTATTTATAAAAATATAGTATTTAGTTGTGATTAATACATGAATTTGTATATATTTTTTTGTTCAAGGGCTTTAAGTACCTTTGTGTCCTTTAAGGAGTTAATGGTGCTGAGTAAAAAAATAATTTGAGATGTTTCATTGTGTTTAACCATTTATCTTCACTTACTGAGTGGTGTGGACTTCACTGCCACAGATGTTTCGTAATAAAAATAATCAGAGGCAGGGTCTTGGATGACTGCCTGTTTGGGGTTTTATTGAAGTAACATTTTCTCTGAACAGTGTCCATCTTTGTAGATAAAACCCAACTCGCATACAGAGCAGACATTTTGTATCTTTCCTGTGAGTCATCCCACATCCGCTTCCAGTCCCCTGTGCAGTTTCACATCCTTTAAACATTYCTTTCTCTCCACAYTAATGAAAATGAGCTTTCAAGCATCTGGATTGTTTGCAGTTTTACGATCAAGACAAGTATGGAAATGTTTTGGTTACACAATTGCCATCATCTGGGGATCCAGGCAAATACTCAAATATTTGTTTACATGCCGCTGTGATTTCATTTAGAGAGTTTCTCATTAAGGTGCAGAACAGACTTTTGTATTAATTTCATTTAATGTTTTCTCTAAAGTTTTTACAAAGTGAGTCAAGTTGTCAGCTGATAAACGGCACACAAACCCACCTCACTGTGGTAACGGTTATAGTGCCTGTGACAAATGTACTACAAAAAGTGGGGGTAAAACTGGGTGGGGGGTTTTCTATGACTATTTTTTTCCTTTATAATTTCTTCAATGAAAAAAAAATTATAAAATTTTGTCCAGTAATACATCATGTAAAAATAAAAAAAGATGAAACTTGGGGGAATATGCTGCTCCATTCCATGTTTTGTTTAGAAATGAACAAAATATATAAGCTCATTTTGTTTCAATGTTTATTGGAAGACACAAAAAC